AGCTCCTGAAACGCAAGACTGCCACACATCTGTTCGACCAACGCCAGTTGATCTAAACGCCAGTTGATCTGGAACACCGGTCCAGATTCCCCTAGGTCTGGTGCCGGTAACACATACATTAAAAAAAAAAAGTCTGTGTGAAGCAAAGGAGATGAATTAGGTCAAAATGCAAGCTTGAAATAGATGACTATTAAATTATCTGTATTTTAAACAATCTGGATGTATTATCCATTATCTGAAGATACAGGCTAGACCAAACGGATTAAAGCTTTGTCTCTGCAGTTTCATGTTTGTACTTAAGCAGAAGTAATAGAGTACCAGACTGATTGTTTACCAAAGCAACACACTCATGAAGAAGAAGTTTGTTAAAGCAATTTACAGATATTTCTGGGATTAAAAAATAATAACAAATATTCCTGTGAAAAAACTACAGATTTTCTTACGTTGTGAACATCATCCAGCATGAGGTACAACGGAGCCATTTATTTATGTTTTGTTAAAAAAATGAAGAAAAAATTCTTCTATTATGAAAACTGTAATAAATATTAAGTTATATTTAATGACTTCCCACCTAAAATGATTTAAACTGAGAAATTATAATGAGCAGATTTCCTTAACATGTATTAAAGACATGTTGTCATTTTAATCAAAGATTTAACAAAACACATGTGCAAATGCACACCCACAGAACTAACACTAAAGAAAGATTGCTGACGCAAACAAAAAGAACATACACCATATATATTCATATAACTCTACCATATGAAAAATTAATAAATATTATTTCATCATTCATACCTTATACGAATAATATAAACAGGTGTTAGGTACGAGAAATAAATGAGTAATAGTAATGTGCCATAACTTTTTCCTAATATCCCAGCTGTCGGGTAAGTGTAGTGAGGTAAAGAGCGCATTATTTCACTCCAAAATCTGGTGAGTAATATCTGTAAGTATCAACATCTCACAGTGAAATATAAATATTTTAATGGATTTGGAGCACTGACTATTTTTTACACTCGTCACCTCATTTGCCTCTGTCTTAATCTTAAACAGTGGAGTTTTTTTTCAGATGGCTATGGACATGATAACCAATCGGAGAAGAGCAGGTCTCCCAGGTGATGCACATGCAGTTTGCTGGTGTGCAATTTCCAGGTTGACTCTCAAAACATAATATACAAATATTAACTTTAAAAATACACATTTCAAATTCAGTAAAAAACAATACTCTAAATATTACACAGGACACGTTAAAATGGCAACACTGTGGTTTGAAACTAACACATTATTTACTGTTCAGTGTAACATCGCCACTGATCTCATTATTGACACTTCACCTACTACCACATCTCTCCTTTTATTATCAGCATTTAACTTTACTTCATGTAAAATGAATACAACCCAATTCAAGCAAAATGTCTCATAAATGTACAAAATTATGACATGCTGTATATACATATGAACAACATATGAGTTATTTATGCGCTACAAACAACAAAATACCTACAAATTATGACTGAAAGATATTTGAAATCATTCCATTAAGATAAAAGGCTGTTACAAAAGTATTGATACCCTCTAGACTCTCAATCCTATACAGATTGGAGAGAACTTTATCATCTGAAGTTGCTTTAATAATCTGGTGTCACACACTCATAAAAACATAAGGTTAAAAATGTTGAAGGAGTTTCTCAAAATAAGCTACAGAACCAAATGGCTTCATATATATATATTACTTTATATAATTTATGAATGTCTCCATAGTGTAGTGGTTTTCAGATTTGATCCTGGGAAGAGACACACAGAGCACCTGAAAAGCATTCACAGTGGTTTTCTTGCTCCTTGTTGTTATGTTACAACTTAATTTTTCACCTCTAAACTCGACAAACACTGCTGCATAATGACAAGGTGAAAAATGTTTTCTCAAAATTCTTGCAAATAAAAAATGAAAAACATAGGCTGTGAATACTTATGTACATCTTTTCTTCAATACTTTGAAGTGCTTCTGGCAACAATTACAGCCTCAAGTCTTTTTGGATTGCTGTCCAGTTGGAAGATCAGTCTTCACCTCAGTTCAAGGTACAGTATATCTAAACATTGCTGCATACATATTTCCCTTGACCGTGACTAGTTTCAGTTCCTGCCGCTGAAAACATCCCCACATCATGATGTTGCCCCCACCAGCAGCTTTAATGTAGGGATGGTATGGGCCAGTTGATGACTGGTGGCTGGTTTCCTCCACACATGACCTTCAGGCTAAAGAGTTCAATCTTTGTTCCATCAGACCAGAGAATTTTGTTTCTCATGGTCTGAGAGTCCTTCAGGTCCCTTTTGACAAATTCCAGGTGGACAGTCACTTGCTTTTTACTAAGGAGTGGATTCTGACTGGTCACTATACCGTAAAGGCCTGATTGGTGGAGTACTGCAGAAATGGTTGTCCTTCTGGAAGGTTCTTCTCTCTCTACAGAACGATACTAGAGCTCTGTCAGAGTGACCATTGGGGCCTTGGTCACCTCCCTGACTAAAGCCTTTTTGCCATAATCTCTCAGCTGCCTGAGCTTCCTTTTGATTGTCACGGCACAGGGTATGAATATTTTTGTACATTTTATATTTTGCTTTTTGATTTTAAATGATTGTTTGTAGAATTTTGAGGTGAAAAATAAATGTAATACATTTTGAAGTAAAACTGTAACATGAATAAAATGTGGAACAACTGCGTAAGCAAGGGTATGTGTAAAAACTGTGGCAACCCCTTGCGAATAAAGGAACAGCTGAAATTCAATTTGTATCTATTACTAAACTATTCTGTGTGACCTTTCATGTGTATCTTTAGATTACACTGGTGTCTAAATCTTTTGCCACAAAACTCACAGTCAAAAGGTTTCTCACCTGTGTGAACTCTGATGTGCGTCTCAAGATGTATCTTTTGGTTAAACCTTTTACCACAAGTGTCACAGCCAAATGGTTTCTCTCCTGTGTGGACTCTCATGTGTATCTTTAGATTCCCCTCTCTGTTAAAGCTGTTACCACAAACCCCACAAGTAAAATGTTTCTCTCCTTTGTGAAGTGCCATGTGTCTCTTCAGATTACACTGATAACTAAATTTTTTACCACAATCGCCACAGACATACGGTTTCTCTTCTGTGTGAACTCTCATGTGTCTCCTAAGATCTCTGTTTTGGTTAAATTTTTGTCCACAATCGTCACAACTAAAAGGTTTCTCTCCTGTGTGCACTCTTATGTGCATGTTAAGATTTCTTTTATAGTTAAATCTTTGTCCACAAATGTGACAGCTAAACGGTTTCTCTTCAGTGTGGGATCTTAAGTGTCTGTTAAGATTTGTCTTGAGGTTAAACCTTTTACCGCATTTATTACAAGAAAATGGTTTCTCTCCACCATGGAGTCTCATGTGTACATACAAACTTCCTTGATATCGAAATCTTTTGCCACACTCACTGCAATCAAATGGTCTTTCTCCTGTGTGGACCCGTGTGTGTATTTTAAGATCTCTCATTTGATTAAATCTTTTACCACAATCGTCACAGCTAACTGATTTCTCTCCTGTGTGGACGGTCATATGAGAATCACAGTTTTGATCCACTCTACAATGTTTCTCATTAACCAAACTGTTGGAAGACCTTTTTTCTGAGTGACATGTCATATGCTTCCGAAGAGACTGCTTGCAGACAAACTGTTTACCACACTCAGAGCAACCTAAAGACTGTTTTGCAATCTTAAATCCCATATCCTTATTTACACTTGACCCTCTGCTGTTGTTTAACCTGCTGTCGTTGTCATCAGTTTCTGGTCCAAAATCTGACAAAGGTTCCTGCCAATCATCGTCCTCACTGACTTCAGTCTCAGAAGACTCTGAAGTCTCTCCATCAGTATTAGATTGCAAATGACAGTTTGCATGTGGTTCTGATTCTGGTGGTCCACTGTCTTCTTCACTGATTTCTGTTTTTATCTGTTCAGCTGAGCTGCTAGCTGGAGGCTCTGTCTCTCTGCTGTTTTCAGTTTGGCTTTGATGAAGCGTTGAGAACTGAGGTTTCTCATCATCATCTTCACTCTTCACATGAACAGCAGTGAATGGGAACCCAGAGATATTGTCCTCCAGCCCACTGAGCTGGTCTCCCTCTTGACTTTTCCAGAGTTCCTCCTGTTCCTCCTTTATGTGAAGAAGCTCTGAGTCATGATGGTCCAGATTAGGGCTGCATTCATAGGGAATCTCTTCTTTTATCACCAACAGCTGCTGGACATCTGCAGGAAACACTGAAACACACACACACTCATAATGAACAATGGCAACTTTGTAATCATGCTGATGTTATTTATGTTATGGAGTTCAATGATTACTGCAAACACACAGTACTGTTTAATTTGATCAAATTAAACAAAACTGCTTGTAGAAACCAATAAAACAAAAACCTATTAAAACGCCAAAATGAAATCCACCAATAACGTAGCAATGTTTCCTAAGTAACTGTGATTTGAAGGCAACTTGACCACTTAAGGTTTTCCACCAGTGAATTATAAGATTAGCACAGGCCTTATAAATGTTGTGACACAGGTTAATTTTACCCTACTGATGGAGTTTTTATGCAATAGTAATCCTGCTCACTTACATGGTGGATTCAGTGTTGGACTGAAGGAGGAAATTAAGTGTTACAGTTAATTCTGTGAGGTGCCAGAAGCTTTCTTAATAATATGATTACCCTAATATTCAAACTAAAATAGTAGTAGTATTATTGCTAAAAATTAACTTGCTGTTTGGTATGTTGTGATATACAGGCGTATTAGCCTAAGAATGAACACAACATAGTTGTTGCCTTTCATTTGATGCCATCTAGCTCCCTTTGGCCTACACTCTCACCCACAGTAGAAAATATTTGGGCCATACTGGCTGCCTTTTATATATTTCCTTAGTTCAAAATCACTAAACAAATTAATTTTAAAAAATTGTATTTTCATCTCAACTAAAGAAAAGTGCACAAATACAGCTGGACTTGATCTTTAGAAATAAAAATTCACCCCTAGCCAATATGAAATAAAATGTTATGATGTACCTGATGTTTAATTTACTCAGCGATATAGGCACTCTTCTTCTTGCTAAATGATCAAAAAGTAACCTGAACTAACAGCAAACAATGCAGATTTCTGTTGAAGATACTGTTCTGAGCTAAAGAAGTTAATAAACATTCTAGTGGACACAGTTAAACTTTCATGAACACTGACTGTAGCTTGGTTACACTACAGTCAGATTAGGGAAAGCAGAGGTTGGAGACACCAAAATTATTGTGGCGTGTGCAGCGAACTTGTGATCTTGTTGTCTTTGAAATGGTTGCTTCAGGTCCACGACCACTCACAATCAGGTGCTGTGTTCACAGAGACTCTGGTGCAAAGTGCCGATGAAATGCAAGTCTGTAACCATTCGACTCATTCAAAAACTGCAAAAAAATCCTCAATGCAAATTCTTTGCTTCGATGCTTTTTTAAAAATCCACAACTCTGCATCGCACAGCTGTCACCATGTAAGTATTTCACCCACATTTACAACTAAATATCAACCTGCTATAGAAACCGAGGTGTGTGTGTGGGTGTGTGTATAACACAATAGCAGTAGTAACCTGTCATAGTTTAACGTGGAGCCAGAGACCGTCTACAACGATGTGGTGCAGTGCAAAGAGAGGAGCCTTTAACGAGACTCTGAGCTCAGGTGGACTTGATGCTGTAATTTGCAACCTTAATTTAAACCACCTGTTCAACAAACTACAACAGCTGCTGTTTGTTTTACATGACAGAAATCAACAGTAATGCTGCAGAAGTGTAAATAAAATAAATAAAAAGTTTGCAAATTGTTGCGTTTTTAAAAAGAGGATTTATTTAACTTTCTATCGCAGTGACACCTGAAGCAAGCAGGGGTGAGTTTAAAGTGGGGGCATCACGTTCTGCTAACATATTTATTTTAAGGCTTTCATAACATTATTTTGCAGATTAAGATTAATATAAAATATCCATCCATCTTCTTCCGCTTATCTGGGGCTGGGTCGCGGGGACAGCAGCCCACGCAGAGAAGCCCAGACCTCCCTCTTCCCAGCCACCTCCTCCAGCTCATCCGGGGGAACACCAAGGCGTTCCCTTGTCACATGCCAAACTGGCTCCTTTTGATGTGAAGGAGCAGCGACTCTGAGCCCCTCCCGAATGGCCGAACTTATCACCCTATCTCTAAGGGAGAGGCCAGCCACCCTTCAGAGGAAGCCCTTTTCTGCCGCTTTTATCCGCGATCTCGTTCTTTCGGTCACTACCCGCAGCTCGTGACCATAGGTGAGGGTAGGGACGTAGATCAACCGGTAAATTGAGAGCTTCGCTTTCACGCTCAACTCTCTCTTCACCACAACAGACCAGTACAGCATCCGCATCACTGCAGCCGCAGCACCAATCCGTCTGTTGTTCTCCCGCACCCTTCTCCAGTCACACTTCCACTTGGGGCAAGAACTCATCCCTGACCCGGAGTGGGCACTCCACCCTTTTTCCAGCTGAGGACCATAGCACCGCAACATTGTAGAGGCGTGTCAACCAAGACAGCCCAACAAAATATAATATAATATGATATGATATGAACATATAAAATATCAAAAATAAAATATCAATAAATTATATTGATTAAAGCATATTTTTATTTCAAAATAGGACATCTCTGCTGCAGTAAAACTGTGAGCTACTGACCTGGGGCTGTGATGCTGGACTCTAAGTTATTATTAATATTAATTATTAACATGTACACCATCAGAAGGTTGCACAGGGAAAACCTTCAGTTCTGTGAAAGTTAATATGCTCACTTTTCTTTACTGCAGCCACTACATGACCCTTTAAAGGTTTACAGACACATACAGGCTCATTTATTAGCACATCTAAACAGAAAAACATATATTATAAGTCCCCCCCCCCTAATAATATAAGGAAGCCTTCCAACAAGACAGAGTAAAAACTACTTTAATTTATTAGTTAATTTAGGCTGTATGTATGTCTTACGTTTTTAAAATTTCTGACATACTGACATAACTATAACTGATATTATAAGTTATTTACTTTTGCAATTAAGACAATGTTTTCTTGTTTTGATTTAAATATGTCACATTTATTTGATGCAATAATCTGCTTGATCACTCAAACAATCAATAACTGCAGCCCTGATAAAAAAGACAGTTTGATGGACTCAGTTTACTATCGAATGAGGTCAGTCTGTTTGTGAAAATATGAAAATTAGCTGTGATAAATAAGCATAAATTGCAAATCTGTAGCAGTCTATATACACAGAAATTAACGATAACTATCTGTATTCAGAGTAAAGCTAGATATCATAGATCTGACACAGAAATTCATAAAATTCCTCCACACACAGAGTCGTACTCTTCACTGTAGAGTGACTCAGACTGATTGCAACATGTTGCTAATGTTTCTGTGGTTACAGATTAGATGGCAATTCATGGGCAGACCTTCATTAATCTCTCTGGGAGGAATTGCAAAAAGTCTGAGACAATAAGCCAAACACTTTCCAATCGAAATTGGTCGACCACCATGAATGTAATTAAATAATAATAATAATAATAATAATAATAATAATAATAATAATAATGCAATCATCATTGTCCATTCTTACTGCAATGTGGCAGAGCCATTAATGATTCATGGTGAATTCCAAGAATTATACTGGAGGGAAATTTCAAGTTTTGTATATAAAACTCTGCAACACTTTCTGCACTAGAGTTTTTGGGGTTAGAGCCAAATCTGAAAATACTCATCAGCATTATGCTAAATATGAAAGTCATTCCAAATGCTATGCACACTTATCTTAAATTTTGGATTCGTCCTTCTTGTTTTTTTCAATTTGTTCTAGGTAGAAACCTGATCTTTATCACAATAAAATAATTATGCTTCAACCAAAGTTGTGCTTCTCCGAGCTGCATCTCTGCTAAAGTCGCCTCCCTTTGCAGCCAATTTCGTGTAGCTGATTATATATTAGCATAGCACAACCGGTCAATGCTGCCCGACATAATTATTACGAAGCGTATGGTGTGATTTTTATTAACAACACACGCACCAACTAGGTAATTAGTAGTCAGCTATTTCAACATCTTTAAAAGACTCACCTGGAGCCATCACACAGCGTCAACAACACATCTGGAGGCTAGAGCCTGCATCTATACCGGAAACATGACGGTCCGTCGATAAGAGAACATGTTTCCTGCCCCTACCTTTCATAATAAAAGCCCTGGACACGCACTATGGATGTGATAAGAATGTGCAAAATCTGTAGGCAAGGATCATGATTTCTGGTATCTGAAGTTTTCTTTTATTGACCAATTTAAGCAAGAAAGACAGTAGATTACATAATTTACGTTGGGTTTTTTTTTATTAGTTTTACAAAAACGTTGTAATAAATATTAGGAAGATACAAGGTAGTGAAAGTTGACTTAAAACCTCGGTTCTAACTTTCAAAAGCAACAGACAGTGCATAAGAGAGGTACAGAAGATAGTTAAAGCGTGACAGAGTGGGTGGAGATGGCTGCACTGGCAAAAAGAAGGGAGGTAGCGTTGAAGATGTGAAAATTGGACAAACGAAATGGGCAAGGTTAGACACGAGATCATCAGTGGGACAGCTCAGGTTGAGCATTTTGGTAACAAAGTTAGCGAGTCAACGCTGAGGTGGTTAGTGGGTAGTGAACACATGGGACAAAGATGTTGACTATGTTGCTGCCAGGCAGAAGGAAAAGCACAGAGAAGAATAATTGGGGTGAAGGACGAGATGCAGAGAGTCAACGTGACAGAGGTGAATGGCAAGGATAGGAAAAGATGAAGGCAGATGATGATGAACCCTAAAGTAAGCAGCTGAAAGGGTTACAAAAAGCTTTATCCAAGCCACAAGAGATCTAGGGCAGTTTTCTATTAGTCCTTTTAGTTTATGTGGTGACATGGTGGCATGGTAGTTAGCACTGTTGGCTCGCAAGAAGAAGTTTGAGCTCAATTCCACTACGCCAGGGTCTTTCTGTGTGGAGTTTGCATCTTCTCTCCAGGTACCCTGGCTTCCTCCCTCAGTCCAAAGGCATGGGGTCAGGTTAATTGGCCATTCTAAATTGCCCACTGGTGTGAATGGATGGCGATTATTTAACTTTTGATTCCTTTAAAATACTGTAAGTGTTATAAATATTTGCATTTTACAGGTTTCATACTGCTTGAGTTCAATAGTAAAATATAACAAAACATTTTCAAAGAATGATCAGAAGTTCAACTAAATGTTTAATATTGCACATCAATGCATCTAATACAAAATGCAAAATTACAACAAATACAATTCAAAACCAATATTCTGTTCATAAAGTCCCCACTTGTGTAGAACAAGCTTGAGTAGTCACAATGAAAAAAAACCCAGGTCTATATTTAGCTTAAATCTTTCATAAAACATCTTCACCAGTTTAATGTGAAAAGGGCTCTTTGTTCACTTATTAATACAATACTAAATAAATCATTTTTGAAAAGTAATTTTCTGGAATTTCATGTCTATTATATTGTGTGTATATATAGCAGTTTGATTCATTAGAGAACTACAACAGCCATAATACATCTAAGTCTAAATAAATAAACACAAACTATATTATCATTTTAATGTATGTATTCCAAAGCGCCACAAAGGTTATCAGTTTTGTTACAACCAGGAATCAGGAAAGGAAAATGAAGCAGACAGTGCCACAGATGGTTGTGAAAGCAGGGGTCTGAGTAAAATGCTTGTTTCTTGGAGTCTCATTAACTGGGCAGATGTGCTCTGTGCAGTAATAAACATCTGTAGGAGACTTGAATGAAACTCTATTCCTATCGGGCACAGCTGCTCCTAAGGGCGGTGGTGGACCACCAGCTGGTGTTTTTAAAATCATAATAGGATAAAATTTTCTGGTCTGTTAGGAGGATGTTCCCTACAGTCACATGTCTTAAATCTGAATTTTTCACATACTATAACTGATGGAAAACTAAATCTGTGGATGCCATTAGAAAACATTGTCTCTCAGTTTCTAAGTGAGTCAGAGTACCCTCATGTGGTAATGCGTAGAAATTGCAGAATATATGATTATTCACACTGTTTAGCAAGCTCAGTGTGTGGGTGTGAATGTGGGTGTAGACCGGGTGACACATTTACCGTCTGCATTAAAAGCCTGAGCTTACATGTACAGGCAAGCTCAGTTGTTGAGATCCCATTGAGGAGCATGGATACAGACAAGCAAGTCAATATTCTTCGAGAAGGATTTCTGGTGAAAAGGGTAAGACAGATTTCATTGAGATGCTCTCTGGCACATAAGACATGATTAATAACTTTAACTCCAACTTTGGATCTCTTCACAGGGTCATGTTGTACAAAACTGGAAGGCACGCTGGTTTGTGCTGACCCCAGACAAGTTGTTGTATTACAAATATGAAGGAAGTAAAAGGGACTCATGCCAGCGAGGGAAAATCCTGCTGAAGGACTGTGTGATTACATGTCCTTTCCTGGAGTATGAAAATCGGCCGGTAGGTTACTGTAAACTGCGTTCTGCAAATAAAATGAGAGAGTTGCAAAAAATTCAAAAGATTACAAAATAGATAAAATAAAAATAGATTTTAAGGGAACATTTCATTTAAAGATTGAAAAAATATGTTCTCTGACATAATATGTGTGTGGATTGATCAAATAAAGTTCCAAACTTTAACGTAATAATAAAATTGCCATAAGAATTATTAAAAACATAGGAGTTAACTAGTAAATTTAAGTTTGCTTTAAGTGCAGATAGAGCACTAGAGTTTAATGTTCATTCATATAATATTGTACTTTTTAAATCATAGTTCCCAGTACTGTTTCTTTAATTTTCTAGTCAGTCCTTTGTTCATTTCCTTATAGCTAGAAGCCACTGTGAAGGTGTGTTTCTCCAGGTGAGACTTATACCCTACTCAGAGAGATAATTTATTGCCCCAGGTTTCTTTTTTGCCTGGACTTGATTTCCATCCTCTGCTGAGAACAGTTTGTTTTCGTTTCTTTTTTGGCACCAATTAAAGCAAACATCTGTCTCTTTTTGTTGTTGTAATAGTTGGTGATGAAGCTCCAGACAAAGCATGGGGTGGATCACTATTTGGAGGCTTGTTCCAGGGAGGAGAGAGATGAGTGGGCAGCTGATATCACTGCTGCAGTCAACAATCTGCAAACAACTAATGGCAAGTCCAAGACAGACAAGCCAGACCTGGCTGAATCCCAGTTGAACAACATTAGCTTGAGGTAAAAAACAAGTTTTCACTGTCTCCTGATTGAATATATTTAGTATATTTTGTTCCAAATGTCTCAATCTTGTTTTGTCTTCTTTCAAAAAGCAAGGTGTTGGACTCAATGTATGACGTGCACAGTGGCATCAAGCTGAGCAACCATGTGGAGCAGGGCAGCACTTATAGTAACTGCTTCTCAGGTGAGCATTTGAAACAAGGTGCACCTTTGACCTTCTGCAATGTTTTTCAGCCTCATACTAATTGCAAAGCTCTTTTGATCTTATGCTGTGGATGTGCTATCATGTGTGATCCTCCCACAGGTTCAGCGGTGGTGGACTGGCTGGTGTTCATGCAGCTGGTTCTTACCCGTGTGGAGGCTGTGACGCTGGCCTCGGCCCTGTTGGAGGAGGGTTTCCTGCGAACTGTTGGTCAGAAGAGTGTGGAGGCACTTCGCACTGCCGGCCTCAGCGAGCAATTCATGGATGACTCCACTGCTCTGTACAGCTTTGTATGTAGCACTGGATAATGGCAAACTAGCAGGCTCTAAACACTGAGTGTGGCTTTTTAGTGTTAATTAATTAACCACATTGATCTGAGAGAGTAAATGAAAACTTGGCGTTTTCTTGGTTTAGAATATATTTTGTGATTTATTACAGTCTGACAGCTTAAAGAAGAGAGGCAGTGTGAAAGCAGAGACATCGTTGTCTGCAGTGGAGCTAAGTGGGAAGGTGCTAAAAAGAGGATATCTGCTTAAACAGGTAAAACTACTGTATTGAAGATGTGTTAAGATGCTATAAATAATAATATTTATGAACTTTGAGTTGTCAGGTTGTGAAAACACTGCTGGGTGACTGGACCTTTTAATAATTCCTAAGAAAGAGGGCACAGAATATGCTGAAGAAACTAAATATATCAACCATTCACTAATATTATTAACACTGTCGTAGCAGCTCAAAAATTAGCATTGCACCATGTGCATGTACTTTGACTTAAAGGTGGTCATTTGTTTGCACTGTGTTTGAATGAATTAGTCAAACTTTATTCATCTTTAAACGCAGGGACACAGAAGAAAGAACTGGAAAGTGAGACTATTTGTTTTGCGATCAGAACCTGCTTTCCTTCACTATTATGATCCGACCAAGGTGAGTGCAAAGTCAATGCTAATGAGAAAAATACCTGTTAGAAAATTAAAATCAGCTAAACAATGAAGACATAAAGAAAGAGAAACTGAACTGCCCAAACTGTTGTGTTTTCATGTGTTGGAAACTATGTAACTACTCATAATTAGCAATAATTCTTCTACATGAGTGACTCAGTCTGATCTACTTCCTGTCTTATGTCATTTGGCAGGATGACATCAGCCCTGTTGGTGGTTTCTCACTGCGAGGGTGCCTTGTGTCATCTTTAGAGGATAACGGCGTTCCCTCAGGTGAGTTACCCTCTAATATCTAGTTTCATTTTGTCAAACAATTACAAAATAGGACCAACAACTATCAGAAATGCAGTTTAAATAAGACTGTTTAAGTTTTTGTCATTTTTTGAGATGAAGACTAAAAAGGTGAGTGTGCTAACATGCTCCTACTCCTCCTGTGTATCAATGCTAAGTTTCTGTGTAATCCAATTACAGACCTGTTCTCCTAATAAAATTTATCTTATCTTTTATATTATTTAAGATCAAAAAGCTCAGCGAAATAAAAAAGCATTTTAAGCTTTTGTCTGTTTTATTTGCCAGTCTCTCCATCCAAATCAGGTTTGACATTTCCATGCAGATGCACTTCACCAACCTTATTTTCTCTTCCCATGCAGGTGTTAAAGGCAACGTTCAAGGCAACTTGTTTAAAATTATAACTCAGACAGACACACATTACTTCATCCAGGCGCCAACTCACCAGGAGAAAATGGACTGGTTAGATACAATAAGATCACAGTGCTGATTCATGTTA